CAAATTGTCTCACCTTCTCATGAGTTTCTTCTCTGTTCCAAGGATACAGCAGCTAGTAGTTCGAAATCGTTTATTTCCATTCAGCATTCACTTTTTCCTTTGTGCTTCAAATGTTCAGACTTCTGAGTACTTTTCGCTAAGAGTAGCAAAAAGTGAAACATCCGCTGTTGTAAGACTATCTGAAAATAAACAGAATTCATGTTTTGTTGAAAAATAGTTGTCTTTATGATTCTACTCTAGCAAAACTCACCTTCTTGCTGACTTACTTGCCTATTCAACTGTTTAATTGCTCGCTAACAAATTTACTTAATTACTTACTGAATTACTCACATACTTTACTTACTTATTTACTCATGTACTTGACTACTTGCTTAGTACGTACTTGACTACCTGCCTGTTTACTTGCTTCCCTGCTTACTTACTTAAAATACTTCCATGTTGTCTGATGACTTGACGTGATCGAGAATTTACGGAACTTAAGAAACTTAGGTCATGGCATTGTACTGTTTGATGCACGCACTGTTTGATTCGAGACGTCTTGGTTCATCATACTTACGATCTTCTCGCTGCAGATACTACATCCCTAAATTAAATAATTTTCTAAATTTAAGCAATGTTAGTTAATGGCGAATCAAAACACTGCTTTAAATTAAAGTTTATAAAACATCAAATTTAATTGAGCATTTCCTTGATACACTGTTGGGACACCGAGCTAATAAACACGGTAAAATTTTCGCCTACTAAAGTTCATACCATGATTCCGTGCTGTGGATGGATGTTTTGAAAATAATAAGTCTTCTAATTTCATGGTTGGTACGAACATTTCTTTATGATGGCCAGAACCAATTCGGTTGAAAGTTGCAATAACTGCAAATAAGTTTTGTTGACAGTTAAAAGGTATTTATTTTACACATATCGCGTCATACAACGGACCAGGTTTCGACTGGACTTGCCAGCCCTCGTCAACCAAAATAGTTTGACTGACTAAGTCTATTTGTGGGATTCCTCTGCACAGCTGTAATGTCGTTATCCGCTTTTTACCCTAGAACGATTTAATTTCTTGGACCCTTCAAAGCGCTTGATTAGACTTATGCAGGTCCTGGATATTTTCAAAAGTTCTCTTGTTTTTCGTACCGCTAACCGTAGGATCACAAAACCCAACAGTTGCACGTTTAATTACAGACGACGCCTTTCGCTGCTGATACCAGCAACCGTCAGGCAAAACAGAATAATCAGGTTTAAGCTGTAACTCAGTTTCGATGACTTCGTAATCCCGTCGGGTCACGGAAACAGCAGAGTCAGAGAGCATCTCCAACGGTCCATATTTTGTGTCAGCGGTTGAGGTTCGGCAGCAGAAAGCCTGAATTTATCGAGACGCTTGCCCCGGTCATTTTTGACCGTCCCCGGGATCTTCGGTCGGTCGGTCGAGCATATAAAAGCTGTTTGCCTTCCTGACTGAAGGCATTCATAAGACTTGCTTGAACAACCACAGCTATCACTTCTTCATCTAGAGAAACAACCACTGTACACTAAGGCTATCTAGTATGTCTGAACTTTGGGCCATTATATTCACGTGTTTGTTTTTATTTTATTATTTAAATAATTTACTCTAGGTGTAGAGAAAGTGCAACGCATGCAACGAGTGAACGAGCTGTAACATGGGTACCGTCTTGCGGATAAACGATCATTCATTAGAACGGATTTCATGGTCAAAATTGAAAAGGCTATGAAATGTTCGTAAATTTCATCTAAAAAGATGGTACTTAACTGTAATGATTTAGTAAATGACGTAAGGCAGCTATGACAGTGAAAAGAGGCAGCAGTTATAATTTTCTTTCGTCTTGTAATTCTGGGGTTTCTTACTTTGTTTTATGAAGTAAAACCTGTGAGCACACGCTTAGACTGTCTCTAAACGCAAATTTTTCATCATTGAAAGTTTCAATCTGCTTCTCTGGAATTGAACAACGATTTTAGCAGCAGGAATATGTAACAAGGTCAAGTATGATTGAGCCTGAGTATCAGTCATGATCCTGAAACGGTCGATTAACCAGGGTATGATAATGGGAACTGATTAATGAAGAGAACACTGATTTTATATTGACTGTGGACACACTCCACATTAGTCTTCAAATGACGGCATTATCAAAAAGATTTTATCATGCATCATATCTGTTGGGGGTGACGTATAAAAATGTCAAAAAGTAAATTCTGTACTCTGTTTGATGGTCAAGATTCTGGAAATGTCATTGCCAAGCATATTTCATTCATACCTTCATCCTAACGAAGAGACCGGGGTTGCTGAGTCAGCTGAGCGCTGAACTCAGAACTGATAGATGTTACCCCGTAAACTCTGCCTTAAAATAGTGGCACTCCTGGTTGATGGCATAGGAACAGAAATCAGCACCACACCATCAACTTCCTGAAAATAAGGACGTCAAAATTGCGCAGTCATGAAAGTGAAGGAAGACCGGCATTTTTAACAGTAACCTTTTCACGAACTTTCGTTTGCTTTCTTTTTTCTAACCAATAGAAAGTAAAGCCAGACATGCTGAACTCAGTAAAAAGAAAACTCGCTATCCAAATAAACATTGCATTAGAAAGCGTTATCAGTGAATTGTTTCTGCACTTTATGATTAGATGCTTGATTGGTTACGGTCCTTACGTTAGCCTGAGCAGTAAATGCGTACCACTGAATCTAAAATTATTTCAACAGCATAAGAGCTATATTTATATTACAGATGCTTATTCAGTGATAATAGAGTTATATTGTGACAATCTCATCGTAAGTCGAATATGCATATGATATAATCAGTAAATAAGTAAATAACTGCCGTAAATAGGCATTCAATAAGTAAATAAATAACTGCGTAACTAAATACCAGTAATTAAAAAGTTAATATTAATTGATGGAAGGTGATGCAGAAGAGGAAACTATAGTGACAGGTTTTCATTAATTTCTTTTTCTTCTGATGATTCGCATTCGCGGGCTTAGCTCGTAGAAGACATTGAGTCGTCGACACTTCTGGGTGGTTCAGGATCGGTCGTTTGCTTTATCAGCTTCTTCAGGAGGATATCAAGTTTTGACTGGACAGTTTGTTTCTTCTTTTCATTTCTTTAGCGAAAACTTCAACTTTACATGAAAATAAGAAGTGCCTCCAATGACAAATAAAATGCGCCTTTAACTGTATTTGAACAAGAAAAAAGATAATATTTTTCTAAATACAGAAAAGTTTAAAAACTTAAGTTTAAAAATGGTAACCGTATCATATAAAATTTCTTTGGAATATATAGTTCAATTTATCAAGAAAGCAATATGTTACAGACCAAAATCAGCAGCAATAATGAGCAAATTATAGGGACAATAGTTATAAAATATGCGTGAACAATGTTATTAAACAAAGAAAAGTAAAGTCAGTTCGAATGAAAACGAGGTAAATAGAATTTAATGGAATAGAATCAATTAAATAATCGAATACATTGAATGTATTTTGAGTTGCTTATGCGAGGAAGCCGTTTCGGTGTATCACGAAGAGGAGCACAATGTGCACAGTCTTTACTTACAACAATATTGCACGAGAAACTGACGTTTCTGACTAAGATGAGTTTCTAGTATGAAACCTCCGTTACTGGTACAATATTATTGTAAATAAGTTGTGTTGTTTTCTCGTTCACGGACTCAGAAACTCAGAATATAAATATTATAAATTGGGAAAAGACGAAAGAAAATTTTTATTTTTATGCAAAACATGCAGACAAAATGGGAAGTTGAAAAGAAATGGCTGTCTTAACTCCCCAAGAATCGTCAGGAATTTAGGGGTATAAACTAACCTTTCGCAAGCAATACAGCGAATATTAAAATCCACAGACTGCGATGAAAGTAGGTTATGATATTCTCATTCTTGTATCCATAATAACGGTTTGTATTCGCATAATGTATCCATAATTATACTTACGCGATCAATTACTACGTTGTGATTTTATTCTACGGGTCATCAGCGATATGAATGTGGAAAGTTGACGTGGAAAGTGCTGTTACTTTATGATGTACTTGAGAATCAATGCGTCTTTCTGTATTGTTGAAACAAGCGAGTATAAGGATTGGCAAGTTGTGTGGCGGATTTGAGCGCTTGGCGCCAGTGGTAACTCTGTGTGTCCCTTCGTAAGGAAAGTCAGATT